GCTTCTTCTTTATTATTTTTTTAAACCTTGTTATTGCATATACAGGAAAGAGAAAGAACTGCCAAAGAGGGCAACATGAATCCTGCTACAGAGCTTAGATAAAATAAATTCATTTTTTTTTCTGTATTTTCCCCACCCCTTCCCTTTAATTCCCCCCTCCCTCCCTTGGGGTTGCCATTTTGGGGGCACGGGATTGGGAAAAGGGTATGGAGTTATGTTGTTTTCTCTCTAAAAGCAAGCGTTCAAAATAAAAACCACAAATACATTACTGTGGAACATGCAACAAGAGACCTATAGTGGCTCTTAAAACATCACAAGAATATTAAAAAGACACAGATTTCCTTAATATAGACTAAACAAGGATGGCAGAGACTTCCCTCCCCAAACAATGCTGCTCAGTAATTTATTGAGAACTGATACGCAAGACACTATAAAGTTTTTAATCTTCACTAACAGAATCATGTTAATGTATTCATTTGTCCCCATTTCTTAAAAAAAAAATTATTTGTTTCCACTTGATACGGTGAAGGAAAATATATATATATATATATATCCACACTGAGGGAGATGCCTGTCAACACCTCCCCTCCTGGTGGGCTTCTTCGGCCACAGCTCCCAGAACAGCCTTGCTGGAAGTTGCTCAGGATATAAATGCTTTAACTCCCACCCCCAACAGCTCAATGCAACAGAATCTGAGACAGATCCCGGTTATATAAACCACGCCAAGAAGACAGGGCCTGTCTCTAGCACATTCTCTCGGGGGAGTCCGGTACCCCTTCCCAGACACGACTGCAAAAGGAAGGGGTTAACCCCACGGCAGGCCCGTGGTTTACTTTACATCCAACAAAGTGCACTGCAGACTTGACTGGACTGGAATGAAGAGACTTTTCTGGGGAGGGGTTTACGGGGACGCGCTGCGGGACCTGTCTGGCTTGGCTTCCAAGCCGCTGACCAACCGCTGGATACTCTGCAGTTCGCTGGTGGCCGCCTCTTTCTCCGAGCAGAGTTTGGGCGACAAGGACACGGAGCTGGAGGAAAGAGTGGAGGAGCGGCTGTTGAGTTCCGAGCCCGAGTCCACGGCCACGGAGGCCGGGCTGGCGGCCAGGGCGGCGGCTTTGCCGTCCAGGGGCCCCGCGGCCGCCGCCATGGACGGCAGGGCAGTGCTGAGCAGGCTGCTGCCGTCCGGGACCGGCACCGGGATGGAGTAGGGGCTGTAGCGCAGCCGCGGGCGCATGGCGTTCAGGTTGAGGAAAGGGTGTCGGTGCACCGAGCTGGAGGCAGCTGCGGAGGACGCGGCCGCCGCCGCGGCCATGTACGTGTAGGGATAAGGGAACAGGCTTCCGAAAGGCGACATGGCCAGGCCCTGGGGAAGGGAGAGAAACGCACGGAGCGAGTCAGGGGCTGCGGGGCGGGGAGAAGCCACGCTCGTCCATCTCCATCTCCTCCCTCCCGTCCTCCACTTTGGGCAAGCTATGAATCCCTTTTTCTCTTGGGAAGGGCAGCAGGAGGAGCACACTCATACTTCTCTTAGGTTCAGATCGTATCTATCACTCTAGGCCGAGATACTTAACTCCCAGTGCCTCAATTTCCTTATATGAAAAACAGGGAAATCATAAGTAACTTGTACTTATTGAGGACTTTGTGGATATAAAATGAGCTAATGACTGCAATATGCTACATGCCCTGCCTGGCCCACAAGAAGGGTTGGCTGTTGCACCTGTTAAATAAGACTCAGGCTACCCCACAAAGGTGGCTGAGGGAAAACCAGAGTGCATAAATTATTAGACAAAATATTTTTTGTCATTCTTGACCACCTTCCCTAGCCCTCCTACCCCAATCCTAGAAGTTTCTGAAATGAAAAACAAAAACAAAAACAAAAACAAACCCAGAGAAGATCTTAAGCAAAAGGGTGTTTGTTATAAACAAAGATAAACAAATTATCCAGTCTGATAGGCTGGTATTACAGGTGAGAAATTGAAGCCCCAGGGGTTCTGGAATTCACTGAGCTACTAAGTGGCAGAAACAGAACTTAAAATGTTAGGATCCTGGCCTGGGCCAGTTCTTTTTGTTTCATGCCTGGAAGTCCCATTAGCGTTTGCTCAGACAGCACCTCACCCGACCTATCACCTGCTCTCCTATGACAGGGTCTCCAGGAGAAGCCAGCAGAGGAGATGGGAGGAACTGAGAAAGGCCAGAGCCAACCCTTCTCTCAGCTCCCTCCTTCCCAGAGAAGGGGAAGCCAGTCCTGTCTCTTGGCTCACTGAAGGGAGATGAATGCGCTCAGACAAAACAGAAGGCAAGAGTGTGCACAAAACTCCATAGAACCTTTTCGCCAGGTTCAGAGCATTTCCAGTGGCCTGAGACTTCTCTCCAGCCACCCCGTGCCCCAACACAGCTGTCTGTGAAACACACGCAGGCTGCCAGGCCTGCCACAGCCCCTGCTGTTCCCTCTCCTCTGACATTTCCCATGTGTGCACAAACTATTAACCCTCCTGGTGGGCTTCTTCGGCCACAGCTCCCAGAACAGCCTTGCTGGAAGTTGCTCAGGATATAAATGCTTTAACTCCCACCCCCAACAGCTCAATGCAACAGAATCTGAGACAGATCCCGGTTATATAAACCACGCCAAGAAGACAGGGCCTGTCTCTAGCACATTCTCTCGGGGGAGTCCGGTACCCCTTCCCAGACACGACTGCAAAAGGAAGGGGTTAACCCCACGGCAGGCCCGTGGTTTACTTTACATCCAACAAAGTGCACTGCAGACTTGACTGGACTGGAATGAAGAGACTTTTCTGGGGAGGGGTTTACGGGGACGCGCTGCGGGACCTGTCTGGCTTGGCTTCCAAGCCGCTGACCAACCGCTGGATACTCTGCAGTTCGCTGGTGGCCGCCTCTTTCTCCGAGCAGAGTTTGGGCGACAAGGACACGGAGCTGGAGGAAAGAGTGGAGGAGCGGCTGTTGAGTTCCGAGCCCGAGTCCACGGCCACGGAGGCCGGGCTGGCGGCCAGGGCGGCGGCTTTGCCGTCCAGGGGCCCCGCGGCCGCCGCCATGGACGGCAGGGCAGTGCTGAGCAGGCTGCTGCCGTCCGGGACCGGCACCGGGATGGAGTAGGGGCTGTAGCGCAGCCGCGGGCGCATGGCGTTCAGGTTGAGGAAAGGGTGTCGGTGCACCGAGCTGGAGGCAGCTGCGGAGGACGCGGCCGCCGCCGCGGCCATGTACGTGTAGGGATAAGGGAACAGGCTTCCGAAAGGCGACATGGCCAGGCCCTGGGGAAGGGAGAGAAACGCACGGAGCGAGTCAGGGGCTGCGGGGCGGGGAGAAGCCACGCTCGTCCATCTCCTCCCTCCCGTCCTCCACTTTGGGCAAGCTATGAATCCCTTTTTCTCTTGGGAAGGGCAGCAGGAGGAGCACACTCATACTTCTCTTAGGTTCAGATCGTATCTATCACTCTAGGCCGAGATACTTAACTCCCAGTGCCTCAATTTCCTTATATGAAAAACAGGGAAATCATAAGTAACTTGTACTTATTGAGGACTTTGTGGATATAAAATGAGCTAATGACTGCAATATGCTACATGCCCTGCCTGGCCCACAAGAAGGGTTGGCTGTTGCACCTGTTAAATAAGACTCAGGCTACCCCACAAAGGTGGCTGAGGGAAAACCAGAGGGCATAAATTATTAGACAAAATATTTTTTGTCATTCCTGACCACCTTCCCTAGCCCTCCTACCCCAATCCTAGAAGTTTCTGAAATGAAAAACAAAAACAAAAACAAAAACAAACCCAGAGAAGATCTTAAGCAAAAGGAAATTGGGCTGGGAGTAAAAGGGTGTTTGTTATAAACAAAGATAAACAAATTATCCAGTCTGATAGGCTGGTATTACAGGTGAGAAATTGAAGCCCCAGGGGTTCTGGAATTCACTGAGCTACTAAGTGGCAGAAACAGAACTTAAAATGTTAGGATCCTGGCCTGGGCCAGTTCTTTTTGTTTCATGCCTCGAAGTCCCATTAGCGTTTGCTCAGACAGCACCTCACCCGACCTATCACCTGCTCTCCTATGACAGGGTCTCCAGGAGAAGCCAGCAGAGGAGATGGGAGGAACTGAGAAAGGCCAGAGCCAACCCTTCTCTCAGCTCCCTCCTTCCCAGAGAAGGGGAAGCCAGTCCTGTCTCTTGGCTCACTGAAGGGAGATGAATGCGCTCAGACAAAACAGAAGGCAAGAGTGTGCACAAAACTCCATAGAACCTTTTCGCCAGGTTCAGAGCATTTCCAGTGGCCTGAGACTTCTCTCCAGCCACCCCGTGCCCCAACACAGCTGTCTGTGAAACACACGCAGGCTGCCAGGCCTGCCACAGCCCCTGCTGTTCCCTCTCCTCTGACATTTCCCATGTGTGCACAAACTATTAACCCTTTGAGGAATGGGCTGGCCTGCTTGGGGTAAGGGGTGGGGGAGAAGGGCATTGAAATGGGAGGAAATGCTGGAAGAGTGAACTCCCACCCAAGGAGTCACTTCCCCTCCTCAGGCGTTGGTCTCCCTCTTGTCTAATTCCTGGGGAAGAGTTGGATATGAGTCACTTAAGAGACATTTCAGCTCTGAAGCTAAAATCAAAAACTCTGAAAGAGGCCCAGGACTCAGACAGCTTGGGATAGAGACTCAGCTCAGCTACTACCAGCTGTGTGACCTTGGATGAGTTACTCAACACCTCTGGGCCTCTTCCCCTTCATTTTTAAAGTGGAGGTGATAATAGTACCACTGAAGGGTTAGATCAAATGAGTCAGAATAGATTAAGGAGTTAGAAGAGAGCCTGGTAGAAAGTAAGCGCTGTGTGTAGCTGCTATCATGATGGTTACCTCCCTACTCTGCTGGAAATAACCCTTAACTTAGGAAACATTTTTCCTTTTATGGGGAGGAGGGGTGAGGTCGTGATGACTCAATGAGAACAGCCTTGCACCTAGTAATGGCTCAATAAATATTATTATTACTATTACTACTACTATTATTATTTAAAGCTATTAGGCAAGGAGACTGGGTGAGGGTTTGGTATCCAAGGGCAGGAAACTAGAGCGAATGAAGGGGGTAGGGGGGCTGGAGAGGTCAGGAGGAAGGGTAAATACCTGGGAGGCCAGTACGTGCTGCTGGAGGTGGAAGGGCAGGGTTGCCGCGGACGCCCCGGACAGTCCCTGCGCCGCAGCGGCAGAGGCCATGACCGTGGAATCCAGACCCGAGACGCCAGTGGAGGCCCCGGACACGGTGGCCAGCAGGGGCCCCATGCCGGCCGCCATGCTGGAGAAGGCGCCCCCCATGGCGAACTGGCCCGGGTGCAGGAACAGCGGGTGCCCGTTGAAGAACTGCTGGCCGGCCAGGCCAGGGGCGAAGCCAAGGCCGGGCAGGGGGCCCTGGGCCAGGTGCGCGGTGGCCGCGCCCGTCTGCACGGGATATTATTATTACTATTACTACTACTATTATTATTTAAAGCTATTAGGCAAGGAGACTGGGTGAGGGTTTGGTATCCAAGGGCAGGAAACTAGAGCGAATGAAGGGGGTAGGGGGGCTGGAGAGGTCAGGAGGAAGGGTAAATACCTGGGAGGCCAGTACGTGCTGCTGGAGGTGGAAGGGCAGGGTTGCCGCGGACGCCCCGGACAGTCCCTGCGCCGCAGCGGCAGAGGCCATGACCGTGGAATCCAGACCCGAGACGCCAGTGGAGGCCCCGGACACGGTGGCCAGCAGGGGCCCCATGCCGGCCGCCATGCTGGAGAAGGCGCCCCCCATGGCGAACTGGCCCGGGTGCAGGAACAGTGGGTGCCCGTTGAAGAACTGCTGGCCGGCCAGGCCAGGGGCGAAGCCAAGGCCGGGCAGGGGGCCCTGGGCCAGGTGCGCGGTGGCCGCGTCCGTCTGCACGGTGAGCGGCGCGAAAGCCTCCTTGCCCGGCAGCACGCGCGCCTCCTCGACCTTGGACGTCGCTGCGCCCTCGCGGCCCGGGCTCCGGCGCTCCTCTGCACCCAGGCCACGGGTGCTGGATGAGATGGTAGCCGGGCTGTGGCGCGAGTCAGGCGACGCCTTGTCCAGCCGCCCGCTATCCCGGGATCGGCCGCCGGACTCGGCCGCGAAGAGGTGCGCCTTGACCGCCGGGCTGCCCTTGTCTCGGCAGGGCTCCTCCGATGTGGTGGTGGAGATTTTGGCCACATCGCAGGCTTCCGCGCCGTGCTCCTCTTTGCTTTCTGCCTCAGCGTCACTCTCACCCTCGCTGGGACACAGATCTACCATAGGAGAAGAAAGGGCCAGTGAAACTCCTGTTGCCAAGTTTCAATCCCAGCTCTGCAGATTACTAGCTGTGTAACCCTAAACAAGCTCCTTAACTTCTCTGCACCTTAGTTTTCTCATCTGCAAAATGGGGATAATGATACCTAACAACTATTCTGGAAGATTCAATAAGCTAATAATGAATTCAAAGTACTTAAGTAGAGTAGGACCTTAGGACACCTCCCCAATCCGTAGCTCTTGTTATAATGACTGTTGCATT